TCAAAGAACCCTTCAGATGACTCTTCAAGAGCTGTGTTATCAAGAGCTGAACTTTGATGTCTCAAAGTTGAAATCAAAAATTGTAAGATTTCTTCAGGTGTATTATGTGACCCTTTTGGGACTGGAATTCGTATAGTTTGTCCCTTCTTATTATTATCTGTAAAATTAATATCAATCCATTGCTCGTCAAGTGTACCAATGGTTGATGACCATGAATATGGATAACTTATGCTGTGTACACCGCAAACCCAATCACCAGAAAAATAAAGGGGTTTAGGTAAGTGGACCCTAAATTTATTCGGCTGGTTATCAGGATAATCAGACACATTGCTCAATAAACAAACATAAAAACTATTCGACATTTTTATTCAAATGAGGTAAATACAATGAAATGAACCCTCTTTTATACAAGTTGGGTTTCGTGGATCCATTCCCTTTCGGGATATCCTATGAATTTTACTAAAATATCATATGTACCATCTGCTCTCTTTTTCTTTCTTATAACCTTCTCTATTCTATACTCTGTATCTGCATCTTTCTTCACACGTGCCAACTCCTCTCTATAGTAATACCCTTTAAATTTGTCTCCCTTATCATTAATAATTTTATATCGAACAGGATAAAATTGATCCTGAACTTTATCCACTCGCACAATTTGGTCTCCCCAATTTGGAATATATCCCTTTTCAAAAGCACTCTTTCCAATACTCATGCGAACAAAATCTCCTTCTTTCAATTTTGACTTTCTTTTCTTTGAAATCTCATTACCGTACATTCTCTCCCACACTTCCTGGGCATTTGAAAAGTCAATATCTATAGGTCTTAGTCCATGCACTCTACTCTTTGACTTATTTATTCCATCTAAAATTTTTTCCAGAATATCAACCCAATTAAGTGACTTATTTTGAGCAAAGTATCTATATAGTCTTTGCTTTACATTTCTTATAGCCCTTTCAGCCACAGCAGCTTTGACTGTTGAATGAGTAGCCTCTAATTTTTGAATCTCCTCTTGATCAAAATATTCTCTCACAGTTTTATTTTTAAATTCTAACCCTTTATCGGAGAATATCCTATGAGGTTTCATAGGCATTTGACCAATTAGTTGTTTAAATGCATCTAACATATCCTTTGAACCCTTTGATTTAACTGGGACACCAAAGAGTCGTTTGGAGAGAACATCAACTCCTAGGAGAATATACTTATTTCCTTTGTTATGTCTAGAGAGAGCCTGCATGTCAGCTAAATCTACTTGTACATCTGTCATAAAACCTGCCGCTATAGTTTTACTTCTGGGAAAATGTATTCTTTTTGGACGCATAAGAGTATACGTCCTATGTCCTTCCAAATAGTCTTGCACAACTTTTCTAGGTAACTTTTTGATAACTTTTCGTGCCTCATACCATAACCTATCAACTCCAGAAAAGGCAGCAGGTGAATCTGGATTATTGTAAAGTCGATGTAGTAGTTGTGTGGGGTCTGCCATTTTTACCAAAGTGTTGGTTTGAATCTTTTTATACCAGCTTCTTTACGTTTAGCTTTTATAAGTCTTAGCATCCATTCTCTACCGGCTTTTGCTGATTGTATTTTTGTGACAGGTTTTACTTTTTTCAGGGCAATTAGAGGACTTTCGTCTGGACCTTCCCATTTTCTTTTTAATTTTAGACGTCTTCGAATATCATCGTCCTTACGAGTTTTAACTAGCGCTGATTGATCAATTGGAACCCTTTGCTCTCTAATATTTAATTTTCTTTCTAAATATTCCCTTCTTTTCTGTTCACGTTTTAATTTTGCTTCATGGTGTTCATCATATCCTTTCTTCCATCTCTTTGTACCTTCAAACTCTTCTGACTGTCCCCTTTTTGTAATTTGTCTAGTTGGAGGAGAGTCAGATACAAGGGGAGCATCAAGACCTTCAGGAATAGTTGGGATGGGAGGAGATGGAGGAAAATCATCATCAACAGGAGCATTATATTCAGGGGTATAAGGAATTCTCCAATTTTTCAACATCTTTTTCCTTTCTAAATTCTGCTTTCTACTCCTAGCCTTTTCAGAAAGTTTCATATACTCATCTCTTCTCTCATTTTTGTAATTACTCAAATGTCGTCTCTTATTTTGTCCATAATCATCCTCCTCAATTTTTCTCTTGATTTTTTGTCTAAGTGTAGGAGGAGTGGGGGAAATTCCGCTCCTTAATAATTTTCTACCTCTGGGATGTACTTGCTCATTTGGAGAATTTGACAAAGGAGGAACAATATTATATGATAAGGCTGGCGGCTCTTGTGGGTACGCTGAATAAGAAAAATCATCGCTCATCCATAAATCATCGTTATCGTCTGTAATATTTGTTGCGGGTCTAATAACATCTCTATTCATAATTGCTCCTTTGGGGTTAGCTACCATTTCAACTCTAACAGGTTTATTCTCACTTTCATTCCTTAGTTTAAGATATCGTCTAAGTTCTTGGTTATAATGAATATTTTTGGCAGAGAGGTTTTCTTTTTTACTTTTAGCATTCTCCACCGCTCTCTTTGTGAAATCTAAATTTGGGTCCCCATAATTATTTGAAGTAAGCCCTCTATAAATCTCTTCTGGAACAAGAATTAATTTTTTTGCCATTTATGATTGATTTTAATTATTTTGATAGGCTTTTATACTAACTACTCGAGCAAGTTCCATTAGAATAGGAGTGAGAAGAGCAGCAAATACTCCTACTCCTTCACCTTTTTGCCTCAAAACTTTTCTTGCTCCCCGTTCACTCCTAGCACGACTCAATTTACGAATAAATTCTGCATATGGTAATAAACGGTTCTTTTGACGAGTGTTAAGATTAAAACGCGATTTTACAATATTCAAACAAATTTCAACAATGGATAACAACTGACTAGTATCAGCCTTCCTTAAAAGTTTTTTATATCTCCTTTCGGATTTTGTAAGCGCTAAAGAGCGTAAAAAATCTTTATTCTCACAAATTAATTGACTAAACATTTTTGGAAATGAAAATTATCTTCTCTTCGTCGTCCTTAAATATACGGGTACGGAGTCTAAGCGCAGTGTCTGAGGATGCATGCAAATCGATGAGCAAATATCCATAAGGCTCATTAGTTGCCTGTTTATACGCATCAAGGAAATAGTCCAACTGACGAGGAAATAGTTGTACTCCAATATTTCTCACAGATAGTGCAGAATTCGGTGACCTCATCAAGACAATATATTGGGCATTTTGACGGGCGACCTTAATCTTTTTCTCAAATAGGTTTTGGGTAACAAAAACAACTGCAAAATTTTGATGGTGGGACTTTTTAGTGAATAATTCTGACAAATACTTTTCATCTATAGACAGGAGCAAATCGTCTAGAATTAGGAGCAAAGGTTTTGAATAGCTTTTTATTAGCTCCTCTGGGGGAACTCCTGCATATACATTAACTCCTGACTTTTGAAGAATGGGGATATTATCGTTCATCTCCCCAAAACAATAAAGTACACTTTTTGGAGGGGGATCGATCAAATCTTGGGAGTCTGCTATAAATTTTAATAGGAATGAGCTCTTCCCACTAGAGCTTGGACCAGACAAAATCATACCAAAAGGTAATTTAAAATACAAATCTTTATTAGTAAATGATTGCGATTCCATTATTAAAAATATTTACGTTAAAAAACTAAAGTTTATATAGGAACATTTTTATCATCCTTTTTCTCTAACTCTTCAATCTTCTTCGGCGATGAAGTAAATCCGGTTGTAGCTGCCATTAAACTATCATAAAATTCTTGGAGCTCCTCTCAAACTCTACATTATCAGGAGGAGTATCAGGACGAGAGGTATTGGAAATAACATTTGGACAATCAGCTGGTGGTACAAGAGGAGTAGGGGAAATTTGAGAAGACAAATTATTAGTGGGAGCAGTTGTAGGAGGTAATTCATCCAATTTCCTTTTCCCTTTCTTTGGATTTTGATGGATAATCTGTTGTTGTTGTACTCCATGAGGGACATTGAAAACTCTTCCCTTATTTTTGATTTTGAAAAAACAATGAGTAGGTAAATCATAAACTGTATCGAACGGAACAAATCGAGTACCTGATCCAATTCGTGTACAGTAGATGGTAATCCCTTTCTTAGTCACAATAAAGTCAATTTCCACTTCAGTGCTCTTACACTCCTTACATCTCCCTGATTGATCATAAGGAATAAATCGTGGAGTGGTAAGTCGGGAACTTAGGACGGTAATTCCACTCGAAGAGATATGGAAATCAACTTCAGGGAGGATTTGGGAAAACAAATTTTGGCCCATTTTAAAATAATGATACTAGAATCCAGAATTTCCACCCTTTTATACCTGGATTTTCAGTGGATTACACCAAAACGTGCACGCCCCCTAAAAAACACAAACATCCCCAGAGCACGCACATACCTAAAATGCTTTGGTTTTAATAAAAATTAAAAATTTGCATTTTCTTTTTCCAAAATTTGCATTTTTCTCCCTAAAATCTAGTACTTCATAAGTTTAAAATTGTACAAGTTTTTTAATAAAATTATTGATTAATAAGGTTGTAAGTACATGATTACTACTTATAGGATTATTAACAGACAAGCAAGATTTTATTGCCAGCCGCATGTTTTAAAATTACCCACCCCTCTTTTGGGTTTTTCATTCTCTCCCCACGACACTGCCCACTTCCCTTTGATCTTTGCCGATGCACTCTCCCTTTTATCGGACCCCTCCTTCCCCACGACAGTGTCCACTCCCTTTGATCTTTACCGCTGCATTCCCTCTCCCTTTTGGTTTTTGTCGGACCCCTCCACCACTTGACGGGTAGTGGATTAGTAAAAAGCCACGACACCGACTGTGGGTTAACTACTATTGTTTATAACAGAAGAATTAATTAGAGAAGCCAAACTTAAGTTTTTTGTGGTCTAGCTAATGTAAGGATGATTCACCTAGAGCATTTAAAACGCTTAGGCGTGAGTTAAATTAAACGATCTAAAAAATAAAAGATTAGTCGATGCCCCGGTAGCTCAGTGGTAGAGCAACTGCATTTGTGTGATTGAGGCCGAACGATCACTATCAACGTTGTCAGAGGTTCAACTCCTGCCCGGTGGCTAAACTTTTGTTAAATTCTTTCTCTAATTAACGAGTACTCGATATAATTAAAGACTGAAGGTGAGGATCGAGATTACTTGGAGGTAATTTTTGAAAGAGATCACGTGTCTCAGTTGGACATCTAGTTATAATATAGGTATCAGTCTTTTAGAGAAAGAAAATAATTAATTTTTAAAAATAAAAAAAGATAAAATAAATTTGAAAGAGAAATACTAATCTTTAATGAATAAATAGATAAATAATTATTATTTATATAGGTAAATATTTAGAATATATTTTTGCAAATACCCAATTAAATTTTGTATAAAAGTCATGAGACTAAATGAAGATTTAAATTAAAAATGAGAAGAGAAGAGAGGGAGGGAGGGATGAGCTTAACTTATTATTAAATAAATATTAATAATTATTCATTCTTTAAAGAGGTTTTTGCTTTCGATATTTAAATTACACCCTCAAATTATTTCAAGAAATACACTGAATTGTGTGTTTCAGAATTTTTGTTATAATTTTAATAAATACTCGTGAACGTGATAAAGCCCTTAATAAATTATTACAAAAAATAAATGATGAGAGAAAGAGAGACGATCCAGGCTAAAGACCGTATTCCAGACAAAATACATTCCCGAGAGACCCCCCCCCCCCTTTCCTCTTAATTCTACTAACATTTTGGAGTAAAATGAAATAAAATTAAAATTATTTAATATAAACTCTTTAAAAATTAAATATTTAAATTTTTACCAGAATTTCCACGAAAAGACCCAGTAGATCGATCACTTGCCAAATGTCTACTTAATATTCTATCATCTCCTCCACGCATTATTTTTAAAAAAATAAAATTAGGGAGAAATTAAGGAGTAAAGGAGAATATTTTGATTAAATTAAGAAAGATTTTTTTGATTTTCAAAAAAGTTTTTGAATTTTAAGTATATTTTATTTTAATTTAAGAAAAAAGTCATGACAACTTTAAATTAAATTTATTTTTTATTAAAATTTTTCTCAAGAAAATTGTGAAAAAAGGTTAAATATTTATTAAGTATAAATATTTTAAAAGAAATTCCAAGAAAAAGAGTAGTGGTAATAAAATATTATTTATTTATTTAATTGCGTGCCAATTATTTCTAATTGACGTAATCAACCAATAAAAAGAAATTAATATAATAAAAAGAAAACTTTTTTTATTAGAAAAAGATAAATACCCAAAAAGCAGGTGAAATGCCGTGATGGAAAAAAAGAAGAAATCATAAGTCGAATGATATTTTAAATTGACGTATTTTATATTGGATATTTTATTTATCTCTTTTTTGGTCTAATAAAAGGGAGGGGGTGGGGGGTAAATTTAAGAAAAAGGAAATAACTAAATAAATTTTTTAGAAATTTTTGTTTAAAAAAAATTTTAAATTCGCCAATTTTTATTTTTTCAATTTCACATTAAGAATATAAAATTGGTCTTATTAAAATAAAATAATGTTTTGTTGCCTATAGCTACATAGAAAAGGTATCAATTTTGAGTAAAATATAATTGTATTTTTGAGAAAAAATAATAAATATGTAGTATGGAAATTTTAAATCCAATAATTGGTGCCGCTTATTCGGAACGTTTAATATAGAAGGAATTTGTGAGGATACTGAAAATTGATCAAGAATTGATAAATAAAAAACTTGATTTATTAAATTAAAAATTTTCATAATATGGAAAAAATTCAGTTGAATTCGCAACTTAAAATAAAAGCCTCGAAAAAATATTTGTCGTTTATAATCATTCCGGTAAATGTGAATTAGTGTGGAAGGGGCAAGACTAGAGAGTTTATGGCCTTGTACTATAATAAATACATATATGTTATAATAGAAGGAAAAATAATTATTTGACTGTAACTTTTTGTAGTTACAGTTTTTGTAGTTATCTGATCAAATCAATCCTAATAAATAAAATCTAGAGTTTAAATTGATATAATAAATATTTAAATTAAGTTTGGCGGATCTGGATATCCGACGCTTCAGTATTGCCCCTGAATAGGCAATATTGAAACGTCCTTTACCGTAGTTCTGAATTGTCGACTTTGAAGCGGCTTTTACTGGTAAAGCGGCAAATTTGAATTTCCTCTAAATCTGAAGAGTAGATTATTTAACAAAATTTTTATTTTAATTTTCTAAGTAATACATATTTTGGTTATTTTTTAGAGATTAATTTAATTTTAACCCCAAATTATTTCTAAAATGAATTCAACAATTAACAATACAACAATTGATTCCATTACTTTAACTCGTCCCTGTCCTGAATCTTATAGCAAATATTGTTACAATAGAGGAAAATGTTATGCTGCTTGGGTTGGAAATGGAAATTTCAAACCTTTCTGCCAGTTTGTTTTTTTGTTTAATTTTTTCAGTTATTTTTTAAAAAGTTGTGCCAGAGGCTTTCATGGACCTCATTGTGAATATTTATTTAATCCAGACGTTTACGGCTTCAATGTTAGTGACGAATTGGAAAACAAGGCTTTGTCGACTGTGGCCATCATTTTATTTTTGGTTATTGTTGGTCTTATTTGGTGCCTTATTTTGCATCGAAAGTTTGTTTTTTTTTGTTAGAAATTTGGGGTTCTTTTTCGTTCTTTTCCCCTCATCTTTCCCTTTTCTTTTATTTTTGGGCTTCTGAGTTTACTAGATTCTGTAACTGTTCTGCCGGAACTGGTTCTATTGACTTATTGATTCGCTATCAATTTTTAAAATGAAAGGTTCCACAGAACAGAATAAAAAAGGTATAATAAAGTGTTATAGATGGTCACATGTGACTTTAGTCTCGACCAGGCCTGTATTTCTCCCCCTCCCCCCCCCCCCCCCGAAATGGGGAAAAGGAAAATTTGGGGAGGGATTGGGGGAAAAGTGAATTTTTCGGCCAGGGCCTTGCAAAATTCTCAAATAATCAAAAATTTTGACCCCTTCAGTGTCAGAAATGATTTTCCCCCATGCTCCCCTCGAAATTTTTCCTGGCTACGGGCCTGGTCCTGACCCTGAGAAATGTTACACTAAAGGCCCAAGAACGAACATTATTATTAAATTCTCTTATACGTCACTTTCTCTCAAGATTGTCCTGAACCTGGACTCATTGTCAGACCTTTATTTTTCTCTAAAAAATTATTTTAGATACATCAAGGCCGCAATCAAAAACAACAAAGACGAAATCGAGTCCATTGATTATGCCGTCGTGTAGATTCAAATGACAATTCAATGTGCCTTCTTCTTACTTTAAGAAAATATTTTTTTAATTTATAGGTTTCTTATTTTTTAATTTTTTTAACTACTATAATTTAAATTAACTAATTCCTAAATCACATTTTTAGACAATTTTATTTTTTAATTGAGATTGTTCACAATTGGTCACCAGAGATTTTCGAAAAATGGGGGTAGCTTTTTTCATGTTCCCAAAGATATGCAAAAATTTTAAAATACATGACTTTCGGGTAAAACTTGTGGGCATTTAGGAGCATAAAGAGAAGAACCGTTTTTTATATAAAGCCAAAATTAAATCGGTATTCGACTAAAACCCTTCAAAACGAAAGTGTCTGTTAATAACCAGTTGTGAATAATTCTATTGTTGACTCACTTAAGTCGGACCTCGATTTTAAATACTTCCTTTGAAACTGAAAAAATCACCCATCCAATGTCCAATCAAATTTAAAAAAATATATTTAATTTAAATACTTTGGGGGGTATTAAATTCGAGATCTGATGTAACTTATTTGACATTATTATTTATAAATCGTATAAAATATTTTTTACATAAATCTTTAAATTTATAACAAAGATTTTAACAATTATAATAGGAAAATCAATTTAAAAAGAATTAAAAAATTCTAAAACCCATATACTTGGAAAAATTCTTAACAACCAATTAAAAATCCTCAATTATTGTCCAACAATTCTTCAATCTTTTCAGTAAATTGACTAAGTTTTAACAAATGATATTTTTGTAAATGCCTGTTTAATTCATATTTAACAGAAAAATTCTTTCCACAATGTTCACATCCATAAGGTTTTTCGCCTTTAGAAAAAATAAATTTAAAAAAAAAATTTTCAATTAAAATCAAACCTTTGTGTGAATTTAAATGTCCTTCTAATTTACTTGCAGAAATAAAAGATTTATCACATAAAGGCCAATTACACAAATATTTCTTCTCTTTAATACTTTTTTTGTATTTAATATCTCCATGAATTTGATTAAAATGTTTTCTTAAATAACGCCCAGTTTTAAATTTTTTGTCACATTGAGGGCATGTAAATTCTCCTGAAGCAGCTTTTTTATTTACAAATAAAGAAATATCAGTGAATTGCTCCCCTTCCTCTTCGGTTTTTATTAATTCTTCGTTATTTTGGTCGTTGATTTTCTTAGAAAAATAATTTAGTTTCTTATAAGTCCTTCCCATATTTAAAAAAATTTGTGGAGACCGAGCTCATTAAAGTATTTATTGAATTTGTTGGCCCGCAAGTAATGATCCACAAATAGACCATTAATCAGTTTTTTAAATATTAACCAACTTTTAAATATAATACCTCTTTTTCAATTTCTTCTGTTTGTTTTGTTGAAGAATTTGGGTTCTCCATTTCATTATTTAAACAATGCTTTTCGCGAACATGCCTAGCTAGACGATTGTAAGGTAATCTAGCACCACAACCATTAATTGTACATTCTAATGCTGAAAGGAAAATGTGATTGAAGGAAAATTTTTCGCCTAAAATGAAGCTTTTATCTTTTTCACGCATAAGAGAAAATCTAAGTAGCTAGAATTTAAAACAATTGACGGGAGTTTAAGATTTATAGGAGAATACCCCCAGTAACGTAGTGAGCGAAATAATAGACGCTAAGAGAACTGAGGTAACGCCACCACCAAAATAAAGTTATCAAAGCTCTTTAATTTGAAATAACCTTCACTCACCTTTATCACCATGTGCCTGTCTTTCGTGTCTTCGAACCTGTGAAGTCAACTTATTTTTGTATTCACAAAATGAGCAATTCTTTAATCCTTTAAATCCACCCATAAACTAAAAATAAACTCAAACATAAAAATTTAAGCATAAAGAATTATTTAAAGCTAAAAAGCTTACTTAGCAAAAGATTAACGCACTATAAAATATTTATTTTTTTAACTTTTAAATTAAATATACAACAAGTAAACAAAAGATGAAAAAATATACAGATAAAATTTGAATAATAATTAACCCGTTTAATATGAAATTAAATTGAATGAGTATTTCAAAATTGTAAATCTAGTCACGATAGAAAGGAAAATAGTAAAAAGGTGGAGGAATAGCAAAAGCCGATGGGTTTTTAATGCCTGAAAGGTAAAGAGACCCTGAATCGAAAAACAATAGTATCCAACCCAACTTTTTTCAAAACTTTTCAAGAATTATTTGAAGAACTGTCATAATCTTCAAGTCTTCCAATCAATTCATATCTCTTTGGACCAATTCTTTGAGTGTGTAATGACTGAGGAAGGCCAGTATCGTTTCTCTAAAAATTTGGAAGATTTTTAATTTAAAAATTTTGTTTTACAATTTCATTCAACTCTTCATTATTTTCCTCATCCATTTCCTCATCATTTTCGTCTAGTCCCAAAAGACCATATCGTTCTGCAATTTCTGCCCTCTCAGCAAAGTTAGGAATGTGTAGATGTTGATTAACTTGAGGTAATTCATTGGAAACAGAATCATCTGAAAAAATGTAAAAAAATCTTCATCAAGGACTTCTCGAATTAAAAATTATGTTAGAGGATTATTGGTTTATTTGATATTTATTTGCCCTCCCCCTTCTATTTGTAATTTTTCAGAGAAGTAGGAAAGGAGGAGAAATGGGAGAGAGTGGAGAGTTAAAACAATCAAGCAAAATTATTCACCTTGTTCTTCTCCTTTTTTATCTTTTCCAATGTCAAATCTTTCATTCATCCAATTTGGATTTTTCAATTCAAAACGCTTAAATTCTTCTATAGCATCATTTAAAGGACTCAGATCAGCTTGATGTTCAAATCTATTATTTTTCTCCGTTTCATTTAGTAAATCTTTTTTGTCATTCAAAATTCCATGAATCCAAGCAATCAAAGGACCAATATTTTGAGGCAAAATAAGCGATCCAAAACCAGCACAAAATAGAGTAGATTTAAAGAAAGGCGGAATTGAATTAGAAGGGGAGTAGGAAAAACGAGCAAACGCGAATTGATTGAGTCGAGAAGACGTAGAATTTTCAGAAGTTTCAGATGTTGAATCCTTTGGACTGTCATGAGAAGTAATTCCTCCATTTTTAAGAGAAGAATCTAAAATTATAAAAAATATTGATAGATTTAATAAAAAAAATAACCCGTTCTTTGATGCTTTGATGTTGTACGTCTTTGACGAATTATTACACCATTTTTGACAAGTCCCTCATTTGAAGCAATATCGTTTATTTTCTAAAAAAATAGTCAATAATTCCATAAAAATAATAACAAAAAATCATACCGAAATAACAAATCGAACAGCACAATTAAAATAATCAGAAAAATGTCTTCTTTGTGCCAATTTTTGTCCAGCCATTACATGCCTTGAACATTCAGAAAATATTGTTAAAACAAAATCGCATTCGCCTAATTTTTCTACTAGCCAAACGCCAGGGCGGACAGCTGTACAAATTTTAATAAATTTAAATTTAAAAAAGAACGAACTCAATCGTTGTATTTCAAAAAAAAACAAAAAAATTCTCGATCGATTGTTCAAATTATCGACAAATCAGCCAAACCTAATTTTTAGATGCCCTTTGGGCGGAAACAAGCTTTTAATACCTAGCAGCTCCTTAAATTAATTCAGTTCGACTGCAAATGTGGCGATAAAAATTGACGATAAATAGAATCGAACAGAAATACAAATTTTAAAAATAATTAAAAAATAACTTGGATTTTGTAAAAATTCCTTCTGATCAACAAAACAAATAGCATTAGCATTTTCTTCCAAAATTTTACACAAAGCCATAACAGCATCTGTATGTTGCTGACAATCGTCTGTGTAGAGAATAAGAACTTTTGGGCGTTTTGTTAATTCGACACTTTGTGGTTGCCGTCTTTGAAGAGCTAAAAGTATTTTAAAAAAATTTAAATATGTATGTAGGAAAAATTATTTAAACACCTCTTTGCCTCCAAAAACGCAATGAAAGGAAAAGAATTGATGTAATTAAAATAGCAGCTAAAATAAAATTATAATTAAAATGGATTTATAGATATAGTACCTAATTTAATAAAAAATTTGTTTTCATTGTAAAATAAAATCAGATAACAGTTAAAGTTAAATGAAAGTAAAAATTAAAATGAAAATTTTATTTAGCACACTCACAAAGGTCCAAACTTAAAAAATATTTTCTGATTAGACCAAACCCGAGTGTGCAAATAATCGAATCTTATGTATTATAAGAACTATTGAAGTCAAAATATTTTTTAAATGAGAATTTCGAAAAAACCAACAAAAAGTTTACCTAAAAGTAGAATAACAGCATATTTGGAAATTAATATTAGCGTCTTTCTCCTCTTCCATTCATTAGAATATTTTGATTCAAAAAGAGTAAAGTTCAACGCTGTATGTGGACATTCTATACAATTTTTGCCAGCAAACGAATTTTTATCACAAACAAGTTCACATTGATTATTGTCAAGAAAAGCATAAAGTCTAAAAATTAATAAAACAATTCTTTTTTTATAAAAATAAAAAGGCCAAATAATTTCATCAAAAATTAAATTTTTTTCAAAAATCTCGACAAGTTCGGGTTTTAAAAAATAACCGTTACAGTGTTCACAAATTTTTCAACAAAAAAAATTTTTTTAAATGAAAAAAAAATTAATTATCGGATCTATACCAACCCAAGTCACCAACAGCTATAGAAAAACATACATATATTTCCCTGAATCAACATTTTTCCAATATTTCCTCCAATGCTGTTTTGATTCAAATAAATTAACAAATAAACTATTTTTATCATATTTTTGTGGATGTATTCTTTCATTAGCTACCAACAAATGTTTCTCATTTTTTGTTTCATTTTGATGAGAAAAATCATCAAAATCGTAAACAGAAAATATAGAAAGGTTAACATCTCTTGAAGGCCATATCCAACGCATTGGACTTAAATTGACTAAAATTTCCTAAAAAGAAAATTTTTAATTTTAACTCGACTGTATTTTTAATGCCTTACATCAGAATAAGAAAGATCAACATAAATAAGAGGAGACCATCTAGCCAAGTGATTTTGTTGAAGAAATTCAGGCCATTTTCCATTTCCACTGTAGAAGTAAGCAATTTTTGGGTCTAATTGACGTTCCAACGGTGTAGTTAATAAAAAAGTTTTTCTAAATTTTCAAAACTAATTTTAATAATTCAGTTAATTTTCATAATTTACCTACAAAGAGATCCATCACGATTTTTAATAACAAAAATATCGAGTAAATATTGACTGAGACTGAACAGATTATAACAAGTATATGAGAAGAAAATTGCAAGTTCATCCTGAAGTTTATTATATAGGATAAAAATTATTTGGTTTAAAGTCTACAATTTTTATCCCCCAAGTGTACAACCCAAAACTACATTTTATCTAATTCATAAATTCTAACCATATTTTTAAAAGTAAATTTAAAGGATTACTCGTCGGATTACTCACGAATCATACAGATCAAAGGCTTGAATTTGAAAGAGCGAAATCCGGCAAGCTTACACTTGGGATTCCCCTCTAACAGCAACATAAAAAAATAAACACAAACCTTATCTTTAAAATAATCTCCAATCTTCAAACGCCTACATGGCCAAATCATTCTTCCCCATTTTCGAATTAGAATTTCTTGTTTGTGACACAAATAATCTTCCTTGTTAGGAGAATATAAACAGCGAAATTGAAAATAAATTTCTTGGATTTTTGAGGATCTTGCAGCAAAGGATATATTCAATTTAACATATGGAAGACTGGAAAATAAGAAAATTTGGGCAAAAATAAAGAAAAATTTACATATTTTGCCCATCAGGAAAAACAGAATATGGCATTAAATCAACTTCTAGCAAATCACCCGGACAATATGGAATATGTCCTTTTCCGTCTTTGTCATTTTCCATAGGCAATAAATTTGTAAGAAATTGGTCACAACTTTTTGAATCATCCAAAAAGGTAAAGTCCTTCTCAAAAGTATTATTTTGTTGATTGTCAAGTGAGAAAACGATGAATTCGTGATAGCAATCATTTGAAGCAAAATGAGAAATTTGATTGAAAAATAATATTAATAGTAGAAATAAAACTTCAAATTGCATAACCTGATAAATTTTCAAAAATTTTTAAAAAATAATGAAACAAAATTAATTGAAATAAAATAATAAATTTGTAAAACAAACAAAAATAGACAGAAAATTTTTAATCTTGAAAATTTAAACAAAAAACAAAAAAAAATTTCTAATTTGAAGTTTCTTCTTCATTTTGTGAAGCTTTTTCATCCTCTTTATCATTTTTGCCTTCTTTAGCCTTCTCTATATTTTTGTACATAAGCCTTCTATATGTACGCGCTCTCACAAAAGTATTTGGATGTAACGGGAGTAAACCAGAAAGGCCTAAAATTTGTTTTTAATTATGAAAAACCAAATATAAATTCATTCCTTATATTAAGCCCCAAACTTGCCAAAAATAAAATTTCTTACCAAGAAGTTCAAGTAACGGAACAGATACTTCAGCATTTCTAACGCCTAACCAATACTTTAATCGATCGAATTTTAAAGAAACCAATTTTTCATTTCTATCGTTAGGTATTGGATCAAAAGTTCCAAGCTAAAAAAAGAAAATTTAAAAATATTTTCAAGAATTATAAACTAACATTTTCAATCATATTTCCTCTATAATGTTCTCCTAAAGCCTTATCTGGATAAACAGCAATATGATATACTGGTCGATTTGAACAACCAAAATTGGCCAAATAAATATAAGGCCTGCCAAAAGTTGCTGGATTAACTAATTGACGCATCCTTTAAAAAATACTAAAAATAATAAAAGTAAAATGAAATTAATGAATTAGAAAATATTTTTGAAAGGAAGACAAAAAAAATTAAAAGATTTTTATGAAAATAATTATTATAAAAATATATGTAGATTAGAAAGAATATTTAACAAATTAAAAATGAATCTCACATAAAACAAGAACTTCCTTAGTGTTAGGACAAAAATGGAATAGAATTAAAGAGATAGCTTTGGCAGAAACGCTTTTGTTAAATTAATTAATTTATTAATTAATTTAATTAATTTGTTAAAGTTAGCAATTAACAGTTGCGGACGGATGTTGCCGAAAAAAAGTTCGTTAATTTTGTTAAAGAAACGTTCCCCTAGCATAAGTTGTGAAAGATAAGAACAAAATATTTTTTGAAATAAAATATTTTTTTAATTTTATAATTTCCTCTTTTCTTTTTCAGTCAAAGTGAGGATTGTCTTTTGCCATTCTAAACGAGCTTTTTCAACACCTTTCAATCCTTCTCTTAAATATCCATCAAATTTAAAATATAAATCTTGATCAACTTTATAATCACCAGAAATATGCTAAAAAATTTTTGAATAAAAATTTAATTTAAAAAATAATTTCAAACCTTAAAAATAATTCTCGAATATTCAATTATATAAATACCACAATCACCAGAAATTTCCATAAACGGCGTTTGAGTATATCTTTTAATTGGTTGGTTGGATGTTAAATTTAAATAATTTGTCATTTTAGAAACAAACTTTAAAAAATTAAATTTTTGAGAAAAAAATAAGAAAAAAAAACAAACCGAATAAACAGGTTCACTAACATTATCATAATTTTCAAAGCCTCTTGCAGGGTCAAAAAGTAAAAAATTCTTTTGATTTGGATTAAAAATAATTAAAGACCAATGTGTTCCACTATAAACTTGGTTTGGATTGTTGCTGTCGTTATAAATAAATAAATTCCATTTATCAGGATTTACTCCAATATTTTTTAAAAGGGTGTCGATTTGGTCATTTTCGTATTTAATTAATTCTGATTGAGTAGCATAAACAATACAAATCTGAAATTAAAAAATTAATAAAGAGGTTAGAAAATAAAAATAAAGAAAACTTAACTTGTTGGAACGTTCTTTAAAATATTTATTGGCCAAATAAATAATTGCAAAATTTACAATGTTATCAGTCAACCAACCATGGCCACGAAGAGAAATAACTAAAAAAGTTAATTAAAACAGAAAAAATATAAAATAACCGTCCTCGTCATGAATATCAATATCTTCATAAGAGAAAAACCTCATTGTTGAAATTTTAATTAAACGAAAATTTTAAAATTTCAATTTATTTTTAAAAATTTTTCAATGTTCTTAAAAAAGATTGGAGAAAAAAGAGAGAGAGGAGAGAGAATTAGAGAAAAAATGAAAATGGAATAAGGTCAAAAAGGTTTCACAGCACTTCCACCCTGTTGACGCACGCGTGAAAACTACTTAGCTTTCTATTTTTCCTTTCTTTCGTTCTCTAACTGTCTCTCTTTCTTTTATGCACTCTTTTTTTGCGACTGCGAAAACAAATTTTATTAAAACTTTGAAATCCCATATCTCGAAAACTATCCCCATTTTTCAAAAATCTGTTCCCACCATTTCATAGATAATTGTTTTAAGTTTCTCTGAAAAAAATTTCAGAAATTTTAATGCAAAATTCACAGAGTTAATGCAAACTGCATTTTCTATCAATTTTAGTTAAAAAACTAATCGAAAAAAAGTTTTAGGAAGTCAAATTTAGTTTAATTTGATGCAGCTCGACGAGTAACGTCGATTCATGCTAAATTTGAATTTATAGGGCCTGATTAGGATGAGTTATGGCCAAAAATGTATAAATTTTTACCGATTTTTAAAAATTCATAACTTAGCCTTATTTGCAGATTTTCCACTCAAATTTCGCAAAGTTGTATATCAATTATAGTACTACAATTTGGCAAATTTTGAAGGAAATTTTGCCACTTGGGGTTATTAGTTATAGACTCCCGAAATTCGACAAAATATACTTACGAATATGGGCAATTCCCGAGTATGTGTGTTATATGTCATTCGAAAGAGCTCGTCGAGTTGAGTCGAATGACACCAAAATCAAGAAAATACCTTAGTTATGAGCTGAGATACAGACTCCTAAAAGTCGTAAATATCGAGTTTTCAAAAATTCCTAACTTAGTTAAAAATGTATATTAGCTTCCCAAACTTTGTAGGATTGTTTAACTATTTTAGGTCTATAAAAATACAAAATTTGAAAAAAATCGGATCAGAGGATAAAAAGTTATAAAATTTAACTAATTCCCCCTCACAAATGAGAGAATTGACCATTTTCCCTCCTCCTGACCATTTTATAACTTGTCTCCTTCTGACCCTTTCTCTTGTTTACAATAAAGTCAGACGCACGAGAGATGCAATAGAATTTGGAGAATAACAGACATTTTATTTAAATTTTGGCGTAATGTTTAAGGAAAAGAGTTAGCTAGTTTTCACGCGTGCGTCAACAGGGTGGAAGTGCTGTGAGGTTTGGGTCAGACAGACATTCGCCGACTGACCAAAACACCGTCTGGTCAAAACACCGTTTTTTTGTTTTGGCGTCATAATGGTCCTCCTTAATTCTGAAATCATCAAAATTTACTTTTATGCCTTATAAATTTAATTCTTTCTGTAGATATTTTTATTGCCTTAAAATTTTTTTAGTTTATTTTCTTTTTAATTCACTTGATGAGCAGTAACCGAAAAGGTATTTTTTCACATTTTTTTAATTTTTGCCATTTTAGACCCTAATTCATCCTCTAACAAGTATCGATCTCCAGCTTCTGGTTTAAGCAAATCAATTTTTTCTGCTATTAAAGGTGTTCCAGTTGAGGTAATTTTAAGAACAATTTTTTTCTTTGATTCACCAACAGATCTAACGGTTATTTTTGCTTTTTTTTGCTTAAACACATCTAATAATATGTGAATGAGGTCATGGGTTCGATCCCGCACGTCAACGTTATTTTTATTTAAGAAAACAAAATAAATGTCACGTTTGGACTCTTACAGATTTTTCATTACGAAAAACATTATTTTAAGTGTTTTGGTGAATCAGTTTAGCAATTTTTTAGATATTTTATTTTATTAGGAGGTTAACAGTAAAAGCGCAGTTAGAGCTCTTGTAAATACAGGTGTACATTTATCACAAATTGATAAAACTTCGCAAAAAGATGACAAAAAAGAGAATAAAGAAAAGGATAAAATGAAAACAACTTTTAAAGCACTTATTGGACATTCTTCCTCAAAATCAAGGGATGGGGAATCCTCTCAACGAAGCACTCCGAAAAGAAACAAAAATAAAAAATTAACAGATAGTGAGAGAGGAAGACGCTCTTTTTCTTGTGAAATGGTTGTTAATACTCCTAATCATTGCCAGGTTTGGATTTTTGGCCACATAACTTTAAAACCCAAAAATTTGATGTAACAGAAATTTTGACCTAAAAGACCTAACAAAAAATGACATAACAGAAATTTTCAGAGGCATCAGAAGGGAATTTATAGATTATAAAGAGAAATATGCCAATAACTTTTAAAAAATCTAGAAAAAACCTGATCTAAAGAATATTCCCCTCCCCCCCCCTCCCTCCCTTATCAAACTTCAAACTTTTAATTTTTTAGAAAGCTCAAAGTATAAACCAAATAAATGTTGCACATTGTCAACAACCACAACAAAATCTTATTACTTCCTCAAATTCACTTATTTGTGGCTCTTCACTTTCTGTTCAATCAACAAATCCTCCCTCTACTCCAGCATTAAGAGGACGTTCACCTTCTGCTGCAAGTAGTATTTGTTCGAAGGTTTTTATAGATCTTTGAGGAAACTTTTAAAAAAAATTTAGGATGAAAAATTGATTGATAATGGCGAATTGAAACAACCAAAAATTCGTCTTTCAATTTGTGCGAAGGCTCTCTTTGCCTGTGCTAATGGGCAATTACAAGAATTGAGGAATTTAATAAAAGAAAATGTAAAAAATATTTTTGAGAGGGATTTAAAATAATTTTTTTTAATTTTTAGCCAGAATTAATAAATTATAAATATCCTCTTTGTTATCGCTACAGTTGTTTACATATTGCTGCCAAGTCTGGTGATAAAAATATTGTGCAATATTTGGTTAGAAATGGGGCAGATTTAAATTCCAAAGATGTAAGTTTGATTTTATTTCAAAAATATTTTTTGTAATCGAAATTGTTCGAAAGTTAAAAATAAAATTTTAAATTTTCACGTAATTTTCGCCTTCACGTTTAACATTAAGTTTCATTCTGTTTTCTTCATAATCTGGCGATAAACAATAAAATAAGACATTAAATTTTATTTTGAATTATGAAAATTTTGAGCTAAAGTTTCGAAAATCCTTCAAGCGAATGTTGCAGAGACGAAAATTTTTATATAGGCTTGATTTGAAATATAGATTTGTTTTTTGATTTACGTCAAAAAAAATATTTGAAATTCCATTTATGAATGGAATTTAATGAATTAATTAATTTTTAATGAAATTCCATTAAATTCCAAATTCCATTATCTAAAAGATTATTTTTAGTTGAATTTATTTTTTCTTAATTTTTAGTAAATTTAAAAATGTGCTGATAAGAATTAAAAATTTTTATAGGAAATGCATTGTACTCCATTACATGCTGCTGCGAAAGCTGGACAAATTGAAATGGTTAATATGCTTATTGAAATGGGTCTTATTTTAACTTTTCATTTTTAATAATTTGAAATATTTTTAGGTGCTGATAAATATATTCGTGACGCTCATGGAATGCTTTATAGTACTTATTTAGATAAACATTTTAAACAATATAAAAATGACCCGATGAAATATTCAAAAACAGTGAAGCAGTCAAATTGTCAGAGTGAAGAAGGTTAATTTTGAATTTAATTCGAAATTTTTTTTAAATTTTCTCTTAGTCCTCGTGAAAAATTTTGATTAAGTTTTCTAATTGGGCCATGTTTCGCCCTTTATATTTAACAGTAAATAATTCTGTGGGGCAGCTTCTGCTGAAAGATATTGCAAAACAGAAATGCTGCCCAAAAATTTTGTAATGAAAAATCCCCCAGTTTCTCATAGTTATAAGGGAAAACCACAGCTCTCTTTGCTCTAAAATTTACTGCAAATTTTAATTTTGTGAAGTTTTTTTTAATTTTTTTCTAAAAATTAAAAAATTTCTTTTCATTTTTAGACGATTCAATAAGTCAAAGCAGCAATCGTTCTCAAATCTCAATTAATTCTCGACATAATTATACCTTTCAATCGTTCAGGAAGCCTATTGGTAGAGCTGTTCGCGATTTCCTTCATAGAAAATAATTTATTTAAAATTGTTTTTGTTTTGTTTTATAATCCTACAAATCTTTATAAATATTTAAATAAATAATTAAATAATAATTTTTTTCTATAAACTGTTTTTACTTTTAAATATTTTATTATTTTTTAGTTTTCTTTGATAATTATTTATTTTTTAATGGTTTTAGAAAATGGGCATTGTTGAGAATTTACCTTTACAAATAATTGCTGGAGCTAAACGCCCTTCTTTTGCATTTTTATCAGTTACTGAAAGATGGCCAAAAATTATTGTTGGGATTGTTGATAGATTACACCGTTATTATAATAAAGCAATAGAAGAAGGTGGTCAGGTTTTAGTTTTAAATTTTATTTTTAAAAGGTCCGGTCAATTTGTCCTTGCTGTTTTTATAAAAAATTTTATCTGTAACAAAAGGGATTAATTGTAAAAATGGAATAATAAAGTCTAAATGTAAGAAACTCGCAAATATTCGCTCCCCACACCTCCCAACGTGATTTTGTTACTCGTAATTCTTGCCTGGCTTTGACAATGAGTTGCTATCAACATGATTGTTCACTACATCCTTGGTAAAATGAAATTTTTTTGGAAAATATTTTATTATATATAAGATTTCATTTTACCAAGGATGTCGTGAATGAAAATTTGTACAAAAAAATAGACTAGGAGCCAAGGATGTCCATAATTTTTGATTGTAGACAGCTTTTATTAGAGAAACCCTTACAGATTACTTAACTATAAGTATAATTACAAAAAGCTTAATTGGACAAAAAGCTTAACTCCGTCAAACTTTTGGAACTCCCAAACTCAAAACCGACAAAATTTTAGAATTGTTAGCAGCCGTTTTTACTAAATTCACACACACCATTATAACTTTATATACAGGTTTTATTTACAATACAAACAAAAACAAGGTAATAATACATATGTACAACAATAGCAAATTATTATGGAACGAGGATAATCGAATTATTATCACATTTACTATCCAACAGCATGTTCCTATCCAATCGGCTGATGATCATTCCTCCTCTTTGCTACTTATTCCGCGATCAACGGCACGTTCAGTTTGAACTCCGACGAACTTCCAGGAGGAAACAGCGCCTTTGCTTCAGTAGCATCTGCTGGAGCAGGAATGAAGTGAACTTCCAGACGACCATCAGCTTTCGGAGGGCCTTCCTGAAGAAACAAAAATTTATTTTATATGATCTTTTGCCTTCTTTCACCGTTCGACGCACAAGAACCGCAGCATTACCGGACGCGTCGACAAAACCGAATACGGGGTTGACACGGTAATGATCGTTGTCGGTGCACTTGACCTTGAAGGCATAGCGACCCTGTAAAAATTGAGATGGTTAAACTACATTAGAAGCCCTAAACACTAAATAAAATGATGCATACCTCAGCGCTGCTGTTCTTCAGCTGTAGCGTGATTTCACCTCCTGCAGCGGGCACCTGAATTGACTCCGGATCGAGCGATACTGCCATCCTTGAAGAGATGTTGTCGATCGTTGAAGTGTAGAGTAGAGCAACTGTAAAACCCGGAGATGGAGAGCGCTTTTATATGTACTTAGATGCACGACGGTCATTCCAAAACACCAAAATATAAAGTAACTTATAACAACGGCAATGAATAATTCGACTCCGAAGAACTTCCAACTTCCTAAAAAATCTTTGACTTGATTAAAATTAATTTTTTTCGAAAAAAACGCTTAAAAATAAGTCTCATTCGGTTATGGTTCCGCAGTGAGATATTTCGGTGTTTTGGAATGACCGTCGTGCATCTAAGTACATATAAAAGCGCTCTCCATCTCCGGGTTTTACAGTTGCTCTACTCTACACTTCAACGATCGACAACATCTCTTCAAGGATGGCAGTATCGCTCGATCCGGAGTCAATTCAGGTGCCCGCTGCAGGAGGTGAAATCACGCTACAGCTGAAGAACAGCAGCGCTGAGGTATGCATCATTTTATTTAGTGTTTAGGGCTTCTAATGTAGTTTAACCATCTCAATTTTTACAGGGTCGCTATGCCTTCAAGGTCAAGTGCACCGACAACGATCATTACCGTGTCAACCCCGTATTCGGTTTTGTCGACGCGTCCGGTAATGCTGCGGTTCTTGTGCGTCGAACGGTGAATAAGGCAAAAGATCATATAAAATAAATTTTTGTTTCTTCAGGAAGGCCCTCCGAAAGCTGATGGTCGTCTGGAAGTTCACTTCATTCCTGCTCCAGCAGATGCTACTGAAGCAAAGGCGCTGTTTCCTCCTGGAAGTTCGTCGGAGTTCAAACTGAACGTGCCGTTGATCGCGGAATAAGTAGCAAAGAGGAGGAATGATCATCAGCCGATTGGATAGGAACATGCTGTTGGATAGTAAATGTGATAATAATTCGATTATCCTCGTTCCATAATAATTTGCCTATTGTTGTACATATGTATTATTACCTTGTTTTTGTTTGTATTGTAAATAAAACCTGTATATAAAGTTATAATGGTGTGTGTGAAAGAATTTAGTAAAAACGGCTGCTAACGGTTCTAAAATTTTGTCGGTTTTGAGTTTGGGAGTTCCAAAAGTTTGACGGAGTTAAGCTTTTTGTCCAATTAAGCTTTTTGTAATTACACTTATAGTAAGTATATGTATAAACAACATTTTTTATTAACAGGAAAAAGGGGATGATGTCAAATCAGTTATTTCAAAATTGTCAGAAATGCGTTATCGAATGATGACTGACAAACCTTTGGAAAAACTTGTTGATGGAATGTCTGTTGATATTAAATATTGGAATGATGGAATTGATGAATTAACTAAAGTTTTTTTTAAAGAAAAATTTTTTTTATAATTTTTTAAGGAAAAAGGAAAAGAAATAAATTGGTATGGAGGCCCTTGGCTTTTTGTTGAATGTTATATGTATTCAAAAATTCAAGAATTTTTTGTTCAAACAAAAAATTTAAAATTTTATGATCCATTTCGAGAAGAAAAAGAGAAAAGTTATAAAAATAGTTTTAAGTATTTGTTGGCAGTTGGAACGGAAATGGCTGATTTATTGGATAAAAACCATTTGACAACAAATGATTTACGGGAATCTTTACTTAAATTTCTTCAGGTTTTATGTTTGAAAAATGATTATGTTTAGAAAATTAGTTTACAAAAGTTTTCTCCTATCATTATTTTTATGCTACAGTCTAAATAAATACACCCCCTGAAACTAAAAAATTATTTTATATGTATCTTAAATTAAGGGTAGGAAATCATTGCTTCAGATTTATTTAATAAAATCCCTTATCAAAAAATTTCTGACAAAGAAAAATAAAAGTAACATTCTCTCCTGCTTTCCTGTCGAAAACTTTTGTGAACACTTCTATAATTGAGCTAATTTTGTATTTTATTTTAAAAATAATTTAATAGATCTCACTTTGGGGCAATAAATGTGATCTTTCTCTTTCTGGCGGCGATCCTCATTTAATGTCAGAAAAGATTTTTCATGATTTGGATGATTTAAAAACAAATATTTTGGTTGATGATTTAGAATTGGCTGTAACTGAATTTCTTTCCCAAAACAAACAAATAGATGTTGTTTTAGACAATGCTGGTCCTGAATTGTTTACAGATTTATGTCTTGCTGATTTTCTTATTTCTAATAATTTGGCAAATAAAATAATTTTACACGGAAAGGTATATTTGGATTTAAATCTTTAATTTTGTGAATGAAAAATAATTGCCAGGAATGTGCCGAATTTTCGGTTTTTTTTTAATTTATGATTTTTTTTCGACTTTTTTGGATTGGGATTATCCTTGACATTTTTTGTTAATTTTGTTGAAGAAATTCAAAAGAAGAAAAATTAAGAATATTTTTTTAACAATTTTTAGATTATTCCTTGGTTTGTTTCTGACACTACCAAACATGATTTAGAATGGTTGCTTGAACAATTATCTGCTGAAAATGAACCTGTATTGGCTAGATTTGGAAAACATTGGAAGAATTATTTGACTAAAGTAATTTGTTTTAAAACATTAATAAATTCTCAAACAATTTTTAGGGAATTATTGAATATAAAACGCATCCATTTTGGACTTACGGTAAGAAATATTGCATTAAACCTTTTAAATTATTGGACAATATTTAAGGCCACGCCTATTGCAAAATGAAAGAAATTGCACCAAATCTTTATGAAGAATTGAGCATTTCTTCTATGTTAATTTTTAAGGGGGATTTGAATTACAGAAAATTGGTTGGAGATAGAGAATGGCCGTTAGAGACGCCTTTTAAGGTTAGAATAATTTTGGACGTGGGGATAAGAATGGCTCGAATTTTTCATTCTAGTGTCCTTTCGTGTTTTCGAAATGAACCGAAAATATTTGGCTTTAGTTAGCAAAGTGTAAAATTGTTCTTCGATATAGACAAGAATATCTCTAAGTAAGAATATATCTCTATAACCCCAATAGTTGTTGAATATGTTCCTCTTCCTTGGATTACCAAAATAAAAAATTATTTTTCCAGACAGCCCTCTGTGGTTTTGAACCAGCACCTTTGCTAGCACTTAGAACATTGAAAGCGGAAACTGTAGCAGGTCTGACTTCAAAGGCCGTCCAATTGATTGAGAGTAAATTTGAGAGGAGTAACCTCACCTGGATGACTTCAAGTGAATATGCTGTTGTTCAACTTTTTGTTCCGGCCAAAAAATGAAAATATTTTTATTAGGGGAAAAATATAAAATATTGTAGGGATGTGATAATTAATAAGAAATAGCTCAAAACATGTTCGAAACCGTTCACTCAGTTTTCAGGTTTTAACCAAATATCAAGTTAATATCAAGTTAGTGTTTTTAGCCCATTCCACCCAAAAAATCCGCAAGATTTTAGGTTTCAAAGAGGTTTTGAGTTTTACCCTAATTTATAGTATTGTAATTAGAATTTTAATTTATTTTTAAAGTAATAAAAAATTAAACGTTAATAAAAGATCAAAATGATCGCCGTCATTTCGCATACAAAAGCGACTATTTTTAAGATTTTGTACGAGAAATACAGTAATCATGTGGATTTTGAATAAAATTTTAAATTTTAAAATAAATTTAAATTAGTTTTTATTAAATAGAAATTCAAGAAATGAAGAAAATTTAAAAAATTTCAAAGGCTTCCCTAACAACCGCCCTCTAAACTTAATTTTTCTTTTAAAAGTTTAAAAATATAGAAAATATACTGTCGAGGAAGCCTCCCAAATTTAATTTTAAAAATAATATAAATTTTAGCTACATGTTTAAAAATAATTTTGTATAAATATAAATTTGTCAAAACAATATACAGCAAATATACAGTCAGATCTCGATATAGAATACACGTAGAACTAGAAGATATTCCTGTTTAAATGTTCTTTTAAATTTGTCATAAGGTGGTTATTACTTAAGCAATACCTCATAGTTAAGATTCGTTTTTAACCCCAAAGTTCTGAATGTATACTTTCTTAAAATATAGGCAAGGTTAAAAGATATCACATTCGAAAAACTCCATATTTAGTCCTCTCCACATCCTCAGTTTTATATCCACAAAGTGTTGCTTGGAGAGCGAGACCGAGAACTTGCCTAGTATTGGCAAGGTCAATGACACCTTTTTAAAAAAGATAAAATCAGTATAAAAATTAAAAAAATAATCACCATCATCCCAGAGACGTGCAGAAGCAAAGAAGGGGGATCCCTCACGCTCAAAACGCTCTTCAACGGGTTGTTTGATTCTGCGTTCCTCTTCTTCAGTCAAAGGTTCAGAATCTGCTCCAGATTGTTTCCGTGCACGCTTTTCTCTTTGGATTTGGGCCAGAACATTGGCTGCTTGTTCACTACCCATGACAGAAATTCTTGCATTCGGCCACATGAACAAAAATCTAAAAATGAATGTTAAAAAATAGTAAAATATAAATTGATTTGGATTGGAATATTTAATTTTTTAACAAATTTTCTCTAAATCCCAAAAAGTTTGATAAAAATTGAGAAGTTATCTATATGAAATGATAACCAGAGCTGTTTTAAGACAAAAAAAATTTAAAAATCGAAATAAAACTAGAAAACCAAAATTTCTAAATGCTCTATTGCCACCAAAAAACAAAAATGTTATTTAAAAAATTCATTAAAAATAAATTCTACAGAATGCAAATTTTCCACAAAGACTAAGAAACCCACAAAATTTTCGGTTCGTTGTATAGCAAAAAAACCCAGGAAAGGATAATCCTCAAACAAATATAACCAATATTTCTTTAAAAAATATTTTTATACGGTAATATACTCATTTTTATTTTATTGGTTTTTGTTATTTTCAAGCAAACATTTACATACGGCTTACAATTAGGAATTTTAAAAAAGTTTTTATCACCCCATAAATTAGACAAATATTACCTAGGTGAATAAGCTCTTCCACACATTCCATAGTTCCCAGCTCCATAAGAACCTCCAATTAATAAAGTTAATTTTGGTACGTGTGCACAAGCAACGGCAGTAACCATCTTTGCACCGTGTTTAGCAATCCCTTCAGCTTCAGCATCACGTCCAACCATAAAACCAGTTATGTTCTGTTAAATGTTAATATTTAAATATTAAAATTAGGGATCAGGCAAAATCAAAATTTTAATCTCTTTTATGAGAAATTCGACAAGGTTAACTAACATTTTGTTAACAACCTTGTCAGCAACTAAACTCAACAAATTTGTCTATTGACGGCCAATATCCCCAACCAGGATAAAATATATTTTCAGGAATTTTAGAATGAGAATAATTAAAAAAACAAAGATAAATTTACCTGAAGGAAAATTAAAGGAATATTTCGCTGACAACAAAGTTGGATAAAATGAGCACCTTTCATTGCTGATTCACTTAACAAAACGCCATTATTGCCTGAGGGAGTTTATATGTTAAAGGAATAAAAGGAAAGCCGCTTACCAACAATTCCAACTGTGTGGCCAAACAAATGAGCGAATCCAGTTACCAAAGTTTCGCCGTAAAACTAAAAAGGAAATTTTTTAGTGTCAGGGCAATCTAACCAATGACCCAAATAAAAATACCTTATAACCAAAACTTATAAATTTAAATAACCACTAAAAAATTTTTTTTAAATTGACGGTCAATATAAGAAAACGACGGTGCTGTCCTTATCCCCGACCCGGATAAAATATACTTATTATATATCCCTTCCCCCATCCCCCCTTACTTGTTTAAATTCATTAAAACGAGATCCATCAACAATTCTTGCAATTATTTCTCGAACATCATAAGCCTTCCTCTGTTTTCCATCACTCCCAATAATTCCATAAATTTCATTAGAAGAAAATAAAGGCTCTTCTATTTGATTTTTTAATTCAAAATTTTGTTGTAAAGGTAATCCAGCAATAATTTGGCGAGCTATTGCCAATGCATGTTTATCGTTTCTTGCAAAATAATCGGTTACTCCGCTCTTCCGGCAATGTAAATCAGCACCTCCAAGTTCTTCAGCAGTTACCTAAAAGTTTTGTAAAGGAAAAATAAAATGTGATAAGGAGTAGAAAAGGATAAAAGAGTAGAAAAAACATATTCATTGAAAATTATAAAATTAAAATCAAAATATAATTGAACGCTAATTGCAAGAAATAAAAAATAAGGCTCATGAAGTTTTAAAAAGGGGCAAGCGGGAGAAACATAATTCAGTGGAAAAAATTGGATCTTAAATCCTTGGATCTTAAACTTCTCTTTATATGAACTATTTCTGGTATTGTTGATTTTTATACAATTAAAAAAACCTCCTCGCCAGTAGCAGCCTTCACAAGTGGAGGACCACCTAAAAAGACAGTCCCTGTTCCTTGAACAATAATTGATTGGTCAGCCATAGCAGGAACATAAGCACCTCCAGCAGTACAGGATCTATTTTTAAATTTATATTTGAATATTTAAAAACAGTAAATGTGAAATAAATGGACTTACAATTAGATATAATTTTAATATAAATTTGTTTTCATTTTAAGATAAAAGCAAATGACAGTTAAAAAGCCAAATGAAAATGAAATTAAAATGAAAATTTTATTTAGCACACTCACAAAGGTCCAAACATATTTAAAAAATATTTTCTGATTAGACCAAACCCGAGTGTGCAAATTGTTTCCTTTTCCTTATAAGTAAACAGTGTCGACAAAAGTTTTATATTTTCTGGTAACATTCAACAAATATTTTTATTATTAAAAAGTTTACCCCATAACAATTGCAATTTGAGGAATTCCTTCAGCTGACATTGTTGCTTGATTGTAAAAAATACGACCAAAATGTTCCCGATCAGCGAAAATTTCTGCTTGACGAGGTAAATTGGCCCCACCTGAATCAACCAAATAAATGCAGGGAAGTCTTTAATTGATAAAAAAAACTTTTAAAATTAATTTTGAAATATTAATACCTATTTTCTCTTGCAATTTCCTGCGCTCTCAAATGCTTTTTAACAGTTATTGGATAATATGTCCCTCCCTAAAAATAAATTTAAAAATAAATTCTGTTCAAAAAAACTTTAACAGTCGCATCATTTGCCGTTATAACACAAAGTCTGCCTGAAACCATCCCCAAACCAGTAATAATTCCACCAACAGGCACTTTCTCCTCTCCATACAAATTATATCCAGCCAATTGTGAAAGTTCCAAAAAAGCACTTCCTGGGTCTTTTTAAAAAATAAATAAAAATATTAAAAGAAAATAAAAACCAATTAAAAGTTCAACGCGTTCTCTAGCCAACATTTTCCCCTTCTTTTTGTGATTAATAATTGTTGATAGTTCAACATCTTTTCCCTCAACAATTTGTAAAACAATTTTGTTAAATTCGTCTAACTAATCCAAAAAAATAAAAATTAAATATTAAAAACTAAACAAACAATTTCAAGCATTTTTGCTTCGCTATGCCGAAATTCTTTCGTTTGTGGATTAATTGAACTTTGCAATGCTGGCCAAAAATTGGATTTGTTAACATTTGTTTGATGAAAATAAGCAACAGAAAAAATATTGCTTCTAAAAAAATTAATTAAATAAAAAAATGTTTATCAGAAAACCTTTTAGATTGAAAGCCAACCCTTTCAAAGTTTTTAAAAATAAAATTAAAAAACATAAAATTCAAAAATTAACAAGAAAATTCAAAAAATTATTTTATCTTTGCCTGACATTTTGTACAAACTCAACTTGTAGGCATTTTGAAAATATTATTTAATGTTTACATTTCGAAAATTTAATAATCAAAAATACAAAATGCCTAAAATAAAAAGGAACAATTTAAAATTATTTTGAGGTTGGAAATTAAAAAGCCACAAATATCTTTCTAACACACTATTTTCTTGTAGTTTTTCACTTTTCCCTCCCACAAGAGTCTGAATTAGGGACAGTGCCATTGCCACATTTTTTATTTTTATTATATTTTACCGAATATAATTTTAGATGACATCTTCTTCACCAAACTCAACAGATTCGGGATCAACAAAAATTATGTTCACTAGACAAGATGAATGGAAAAATACAGGGAGCCCAGATGGGGAAATTAAAGTTTTTCGACCTACAATGGAGGAATTTAAAAATTTTGGCAAATATATGGAATATATCGAGCAACAAAATGCTCATCTTTCTTCTGGTGTTTGCAAAGTGAGTAGATTTTGAAAAATCTATAGGGAAATAGCAATAAGCATTTTTAAATTTGCGAAGTGTTTTCTCTTCTTTTTTGATCTTTTGGATTATGACATTCTTTACTTAAATATAATTTTATATCGTTGAAGTTTATCTATTTTCTTTTCATTACAGAAAAATTATTTAGGTTATTCCTCCAGAAGGTTGGTATCCAAGGCCTTCAAAACTGCCCGACGATTACTCCGATATTGACGATTTCATAATTGAGTGTCCAGTGTATGTTTATTATTTAATTATTAAAAAATACCTTGTTGTGTTAAACTACTGACAAGTAGATTTTGTGGGGAAAGTATTGTATTAAGTTGAAATTAACAGCTCGAATTTAACTTCGACAGTTTAGTGGGACAAAATGTCATTTTTATAACATGAAGTCGTTTTGATTATTTAACATTTTTTACACCATCTTTCACGTTTTTATGAGATTTTTTAAATATTTATCGTGGAAAATGTCAATATTTCATAAAGTATCGTCGATACTTCGTTTACTTTCAGCTTTAAATTTTTTTTACTTTTTTAGAAGAGAACGAATTGAAAGTATGGGAAATGGCTGTCATGTTAAAAATAATGTTGTTTACAGAAAAGAGATGAAAGTTAAAGATTTTCGTAGAATGGCTTTATCAAAACAATACGGAACGCCTCAAAAGAATTATGACTTGTACAATTTAGAGAAGTGAGCGTATTTTTTGGAAATTTTATTAAAGTTTATTTTTTAGACATTTTTGGCGTAATTTATTGCATCATGAACCTATTTATGGAGCAGACACGCCTGGTTCGATTTATGATTCTGATGTTAAAGAGTTTAATATGAATTGCCTCGGAACGATTTTAGACTTGCTTAAGGAGGAAAAGGTTGGGATTTTTTTGTTGATTATGTGCATGAATTTTGAGAGAATTTATTCCCACCTTTCAATTTTTGTAAATTAATAATGAACTTTAAGCACAAAAATTGAACGATTTCGAATTACCTGCGCGTTTATGCGATTTTTTAGTTATTATTGCTTAATTGCCAGCAATTAAAATTAATTATTTAGGTAACAATCAAGGGTGTTAATACAGTCTTTCTATATTTTGGCATGTGGAAAACAACATTTCCTTGGCATGCAGAAGACATGGATCTTTATTCAATAAATTATTTACATTTTGGAGAGGTTTAATTTGAATAAAAATTTCTTCAAACTTTATTTTCTCATTTTAAGCCAAAATTTTGGTATGCAATTCCCTCTCATGCAGCTGAAAAATTTGAGAGATTGGCAGCTCAGCGCTTTCCTGACGGCTTACAAATTTGCAAAGCTTTTCTTCGACATAAACTTTATATTATATCCCCAACTGTTTTAAAACAAAATGGAATTCCTTATGGAACTATGGTTCAATACCCTGGAGAATTTATAATAAGTATATTTTTATAAATCTATCGGGTTGTCCGACCCGTAAATTTTTATTTTAAAAAAGAAAATTAATTCGTGCATTGGAGTTTTGTTTTTGAATTCCGATAATTTTATTTTCGTTGCGATTTTTTTGAAAATAAATCCAAGGAATTTATATTCAACA